TAGTGTAAGGATCTTTGTACTTTGGCTGACCGTACTTGCGGTGCTGATATGTTGAATCATCACGGTATCGTTTGACATTGTATTGATGAGGACACGCGTCGCGTTCTCCTATCGTTGTTCTGTTGGATAGTCGTTGGCACGTTTCCTTAATGTATTTCCAGTTTGCTTCGAAACGGACGTTGTGAATCGCTCACGATTTAACACGAGCTGTTCGGCGTTGCGCGCAAGGTTGTATGAATCGTGCATTCATTGCAAAGCGAACCGCCGTGAGGACTCTCATCCAGGATCCATTCAGAGGTCTCTTGGCACTTATGTTTTGAACAGCATCAAGTACGTATGGTTGATGAGAAGCTCGACATAGAGTTGGCTGAGGTTACGCGTAGTGGAATTGCGACGAAGTCCATATTCATCCCGGAGTGTCTTTCGACCTTGCGCGGAACTCGCGTCCTCTATCCATAAACCTCAGCAGGCCATGGATACCGAGTAAGCCACGTTTGTTCTAGACGATGGCTACTTGTCTGCTGCCTTGGAGCAGATCTCTGCAATTCCGAACCATCCGGTTCGGGATCAATCATTGTCAAGCAATGAAGTGTGCAGGAACTCTTTCTTAGGATCCCCGACTTGTAAACCATCAGGTCAATACATAGTTTTTCCCAAGGGATCTCCTCGCAAGTCTTTGGGGCATCAAGCTTACGCTCTTGGTTTGTTCATCTGGCAGCTTTGGCAACGCTGACATACGGCCTGCACAGCTTGCCAGTCCTTTCCAGTGTAGTGTTGGCTGATGGTTAGTTCTGTGCGAGTCTCGCCAGGACATCAGCACACTGTACATTCACTAGCTTTTCTCATAGTTTTAGGTCGACGATTTTTGTCCTTAACTACTAAGTCGTAAGACTTTCCCCTCTGGGGAAAGATTGCTTCTTGTAGTCGTTTGGCTTGTCCCGAGGAGTTTTTTGATATCGTTGTCTTCTTTCTGACGATGTTCGATCTCGGGGAAGAGAGAGGGAACTCGCTAGGAAGTCCTCTTCGTCTGCAGCCATGAGCTCAGCGATCTCGCTGGCGTCCATCTTTCTGAAGAACCGTCGTTGTTGGAGTGTTAAGTCTCGACAACGCATCAGCACGATGTTCTGTTCGCCTTGATGTACCGTAGTTCAGGGCCGTATTCTTCCAGAATAAGGCGCCATCGCATACGCGATCGGTATTGAAGTTTACATGTAAGATTCTTGTGGTCCGATATTCAACATCTTCTGTCCTGAAGAATTTTACGGAACTTTTTTAGAGTTCTAGATACTGAGAAGTTCATTCTCGGATTAACTGTGTAACGTGTCTAGCAGTGTTGAGCTTCTACTGTTGAACGCGAGGTTTTCCCTTCTGGAATTACTGCACCCTAGTTGAGTAACATGCATCCGTGTGGATAAACGACTGTATCGTTGAAGTAGGGTAGGCATGGCAAGGTTTCTTTGCTGATTGTCTTTTCATTGGCTAAGAAGCACTTGTCGTGTTCGCTTACTTTCCACTTCGTTGTTTTGGAGGTCACGAAGCGAGTGGAGCCAGTACATGTGATCGTATAATCACATGTCTCGATATAGTCACTGTCCGATGAATCTACGTGGGTTCTCTTTCTTGTTGGTAGGAGGAGCGATTTCTGGATCGCGATCTATTTTTCTTGGTTATGCAGGTTGGATCCCTTCTCGAGATAATCAGTAACGGTATTCAGTTCTTCTCTTGCGAAGCAAGGTACTTTGGTAGCATTATTTAATCCCGGCTTTCGCGAAGCTTCGGAGTAATTATCGGAACTTGTTCAACGGATCTGCTAGACGAGTAGTTAGGATGAGTGATCATCAATGTATGAACGGAATATTCTAGGTCGTGCATGTGTTCCCATCTTCTTGGAAGATGTCGGGACTACATAGGCCCATTGGCAATCTCTGTTACTCGTTTTCCCTCGGAGTCGATGGTCAGGTTGCTTCGAGTGAGTGACAGCTCGATGTGATGTATCCATGTTCTGGTCTAGACTAGAGCGTACTGAATCCATCTAGTTAAGATGGACATGTCTGTTATTTTGGGATAGGATAAGGCTCGCTTAATCCTTTTGTTCAGTTCCCGGAAATCAGAGTGAATCGTACAGATCCATCTTTCTTTGGGAATGATAAAGTTTTGGTGCCGCCCACTCGGAGACGGTTTACCTTCTTAGTACTCCTGCGCAGAGACGTTCAACCTACCTCTTAAGAGTGGTGGTATGGACCCGTGAAGTAGGAAAGCCCTGGCATGTAGGGATTTAGCATAGGGAGGAGTTCTAATTCGTAGTCGTCATTCTGCACTTTCCAAAAGTACCTCGAATAGGTCAGAGTACTTCGTCGGTAAGGAATGAAGCTGTTCCTGCTTTCCTTATTAACTGTTTGTTTACTTTGGCAACCTGCCTTAAGTCAGCTTGTTCTATATTCGCATCAAGAATCTTCATGAGACGATCGTCACTGTGGCATCAACAGCAGGAGAGGATGACGGACTGGAAGTTCTTTTTCTTCATGCTGCAATGCTATCTTATGCAAGATAGATGCCCGCCGTCCCATTCGGACTGACATGGTAGTGAAGTCAAACTTGAAATATCTCTCCTTTTTATTAGACCGAGTCAATGACAATGGCACTGTACGGCTCCAACATGCTACGCCAACGGCGCACAGTCTACCAGACTTGGACATAAGGTATATACCCATACAAGGCCTGATCCCCTTGTAGGATTGCAATCGTGCGACGCACATGTCTACATCCAAATCTCATGAGAGTGCCCGCACTTTAAATCATATGTTCTCCTTGTCCACTGCTGTCGGCCTTCTGTGACCCTGTCAGGGGGCGAATGCAATACACGGCTCTTAGCCTTATTCGCGACTCGATCCTAGATAGGGTTGAGTTCGACTCATGACTGAGTCTTCTGTGAATAGTCATTTGAGACAGGGTTCTCAATGACCGCTAGTCATACTAGGTGATGAAACATCGCCTAGATATTTAGCCAGCGGGAGATTCCACGCTACTATCCAGCTAGACAAACCTTCCACGCGTTCCGTTTTTGATCGTGGAGAGACGTAGGATTACTACCACAACCTACTCTATCACACTTTATAGTCTCCGCGGGAAGCCAGATCTACGATCCCTTGATGATGATCTCTCTCGTTGATTAGTTTTCATAGCTTTCTAATCTCTCTCATAACTTTCATTCTCTCAAACTCAAAACACTCGAAAGATCTTTACACTAGCTTTTAGCGTAGTGCAAATGCCCTTATTGCGGCAAGATACATGACCACGCTGAGGGCTCAGGGCATCATGAGGCTCAGTGCGATGACGATGATGATAGGTATAGACTAGGAATTGTTCTAGGCGACAGGGCTTTTGTTCCTAACTATGGGTATACTATCATCGAATATCTTGCGAAGGACGGTATTAACCGGATCCTTCCTATTGATGACGTTGACTCAGATGCGGAGTGAAATAATACTCCATAGTCGATTAGTTTGAATTTTGAATGTAACGGTAATCCAGTGGCATCCACTTTTGGCGCGTTTTCCAAGTCCGTTCTACCGGTGCGGCAATACCAATAGAATTTTGGGACGTCTTCTGCTTTCATTTCAAGCTGTTCTCCATAGATTCATTACAGGGGTAACAGTGATGGCGGTTACAGGAACTGTGCTGCAGGAAAGGCTATAGCTGCGTGACCAATGATAGAATGCACCTGTGAAAGCCTCTTCCGGGATGGGAAACTCACAGTTCCTTTCAGGTAAGGTTTGAAGGTTAGGAATCTTATGTGTTCTATGTCATGGTGAGCACACAGACGGTCTACATCTGCAGGTGTGTATTTTTTGAACACAAACTTCCAGTGTTTTGCTTGGGGGCCTGATCCTGCCATCTTTAAAATAATGGGGTTGACTAATGGCATGGCTAATGGAATGGCATAAAGTGAAGGTGCGGCTACTAGCTGGCATGAAGTGAAGGTAGCTAGCTGGCATGAAGTGAAGGTGCCGTTAGCTAGTTTGGGTTCGCTCAATCGCCGCGCTGGCTTCTAGTTTGGGTACGCTCAATCGCCGCGCTGGCTTCTAGCTAGCTAGTTTGGGTACGCTCAATCGCCGCGCTGGCTTCTAGTTTGGAAGGTCCCTTGGTCCAAGATACAGGCTCAGTCGCCGCTGGGCTGGATATAAAGGGGGACCGAGGGGGACCGCAAGCAATCTGCGCTTTGAGTACCGGTTGTTAACTCTTCAGCTTGATTTCATTTAATGCCGGTCCCCCGGTCCCCCGTTTTCAGGTTTCACTATAGAAAAAACAGTACGGGACCAAGGGGACCCGAAGGGGGTAATAATAGTTTCGACATACATGCCTCTAGATGCACAGTTGCTCGGTGCATCTTTGGCTCCATGTCTTCACGCGCTACGCTTGACCCCCCTCGGGTCTCCCATGGTCCTTCCTCATTGTTTCAATATGGATTTCGATACATACAGTAACGATATCTCCAATTTTCAAGACACTGGGGGACTTGAGAAAGCGATGGACAGACAAAAATGCAAACTTGAAGTTTGAAAATGGGCCAACGCAGAAAAAACCTACACTAAAACAGTGCGGCCCATTCGGGGACGGGGGTCCTTTGGTCCCCTTTTTTGTCGCACATTTGATCTGCTTCGGATGAGCTCGCGCGGTGTACTGTAGGAAGTTCGAGACCACTTGTGGTAACCGCAACGAAGTGAAGGAGATACGATATACGATCCTTGCCGCTTTAGCTTGCACAGCTAGCTAGCTAGCTTGCACTACGTAGAAAGCTACGAGAGGGTGTTTTGAGTAACTGTTGTGTAAAATGTGCAAAACGCATTGGGAAGCCCAATCTTGGAACTGCACCTCTTTAGAAGAAGGGTGAAAGATATTCCTCCCAATGATAGTGAGAGGGAGGATTTGTGCATAGATACATCGTTCTAATAGCTAGCTAGTGAGTTTATCAACCCCAAAAGCATATGGCAACTGCATCTGTTTTGCTGTTGCGAACACTACTCAATAAAAGCATGCTGTCTGTGCGCTGATAACCCATTCAACCCAACAGCGCGCAAATCACGCGACGGCTGCCTTAGGTTAACCCCTACCGTATCATTCCTTATGATGTTGGATGTCTACATTACCACCCGGTTCCCCACATTGGTTTCTCTCTGTGGGTCTTCTACTTGCCTACTACGTCGCGATGGGATACGGACTAACCACAGAGATCTCCTTTGGGATGGGGGGTGCGCTATTGCGGAAGCTCCTACAGAAGTCTTCTTCTGCTGCCTCATCCATACTCTCGCAGTCCTCGTCATCCGCCGGCAGCCCATTTGCAAGTGTGGTAAAACCAGTCATTGTTCCCCATACATTGGCAGCCTTGGAAAGTAACAATACCGGATCAGGAGCTGGATGAGTGCCGGCTTGGTCCAGGCTACCAAAATCCACAAATAACACAGGCTTGTCCAAAGGAGCACGAGTTTTTGGAACTGCCACTTGACCAGGGAGTGACTGGCTTCGCTCCTTCAATTTTGTTTGATTTTCATGCTGGAGATCATTCAAGTCTCTCTTCTTCATTCCCTTGAGGTACTCGGTAAGGCCCAACACAGCTTGCTCCAACCCCGTACGTGCTTTCTCCAGGTGGCTCGCCTTCTCTTCTGGGCTCACTTTGATGCTGTTTTCGTATCTGTGCCGGAACTCCCTATTGTTCATATTCGCATGCATGAAGGCTTCAGAAGCAAGCTTCTTGGCATCCACAGTCGCAGAGGCCTCTAAGTAGTCTTGTGGGATGTTGGTGAAACCATCAGGGAAGCCTGCCAAAACCAGCGCCTTGTACCCTTCGCCCCTCCAGCCTTTGGCCTCCTGCAAAGTCATGCAGGGGACAATGAGCAATAGCGGCGTCGTGCCATCCGTTACTTTTCCTTGTTGTTGCAGGCGCAGCTTATTGAACACGAAGTGTATAACGCCCGTGTGGTCCATTAGTAGCTTTCTTGCGAGACTACTTCTGGTGCTGTCCTGAGAAATGGTAGTTTCCTCAAATTGAACTTGAGCACTTTCTTTTTTTTTGGTGCGTGCAGCGGCCGCAAGACCGTCGCCTTTTCTCTTTTTTGTGTCTCTGGCAAGCGGACTTCTCTTCTTTCCGGCGGGGGGTGAACTACTCTTTCTCGGCTTTTCGGGTTGCTTCGAAGCAGCTGCGGCACCACGCCTCCCACGGCTTCGACTTTCCGCCTTTTCGGGTTGCTTCGAAGAAGCAGCAGCTGCTGCACGACGGCTTGCCTTCTTTGTGTAGTTGGTCTGGAGGTGCACGGGCGTTGGTTTTCCATCCTCAGCATCATCGTCTTGATCGTCGGTATATTCCTTCCTCACTCCACGGGTGGCCATGAGCTGTTCGCAGACGCTTGTCGTTTCAGATAGACCCATTACTGCCGCAGCAACTCCAAACCACTCTTCATGAGCTTGTTTACCAGCGGGAAGCAGGTGCGCTATCTCCTGATACTTGTCAAAAGGATTTCCAACAATGTCCACAGGCCATATAGTTTTTCTCTTGTTGCCGCCCATACTCTCTGATCTTGTGCTCTTCAATGGTGCAGGGTAGTTCCCTTCACGCATCGCATTGCGAGTGATCGTGTATTGGTCTACAATGTAAGCATTTTCCTCAGCTTGCCTATTCATTTTAACATCGCCCCGCCGCCAAAAAGCTTTCCAGTGTTTGGGTGAGGACTTCTTGTGACATATCGACCAAACATCAGCGGTTTGGCAAAAGAATTCACCGTATGCAAAACCTTCTACGTCTTCTACCTTTCCATTCACCTCTGCTGCCATTGTGATTCTACATGTACTAGTATTGCTGGATGGGTTGCTTGTCTTCCTTCCAATAGTTCGGGCAAGCAACTTTTGGCTTGGAGTGTTATGGCCATTGTTGTTGTTCACGTCTGGGTTGTTGTTGCCGCCAACGCTCTGCAGCCAACGCTCAACACGAGTGGTATCGTGGTATCTGACTCATAAGATTTACGAGGGGGAACCTACGTTAAATCTACGGAAAGTGGTTGGTTAAGTGGTTCCAACTGAATGATTGGATAGAGCAGTCGGAGTCTGGCCGTGAGGTTGCCGTCCAACAATGCTAAAACTTAAACTACATGTAATATCATTCGAAGAACTTTCGCCAATCTTCTGGTATGTTCTCTGGTAGTTTCCCCATCTTCTCAACTTCACGAAATGCAGGGAGTTTCAATTTTCTTTCCAGTTTGCTGTGCGTAATGACCTTGTCTTTCTCGAATTTAAGGGTTTGACGTATCTGGTCTTCTGCCGGTTTTGCAATCCTTCTGATCTCTTCTTTGTCTGCAGTTGATGTGGGAAACTCGTCTGCATGCATCAGGACGAACCTTACTGCGAGTTTCAATGAACCAAACTTGTTGACAAGTGTCCTCTTATCGGCCTTGGACATTTCATCCCGGGAACCGCTTCTCCGGTCTAATGCATAACCTGCTCGATAATCTTCAGCGAAGAAGGCAGCGGTTAGTTCTGTCAGGGATGCGACCTTTCCTTCTGTGTTGATTGAAAACTTGATGACGCCCTTTGGTTTCTGTTCAAGTTTTGGGTTCGGGGCTTCTCCTACGAGGTTTCTCTCAAGTCGTTGGATGGCTTGGTTCATCGTACATAGTTGTCCCACGATGAAAGAGCTCGTCATTCTGCTCTCAGTCTGGATTGCACTGCGGATGTCATTGACCTTATGTTCAAGGTTTTGGAGTCTCATGTGGTTTGCTTGAGCTAGCGAGGCCAGAGCATTGAAGTGATCAATGCACTACGCTAAAAGCTAGTGTAAAGATCTTTCGAGTGTTTTGAGTTTGAGAGAATGAAAGTTATGAGAGGATTAGAAAGCTATGAAAACTAATCAACGAGAGAGATCCACAATCAAAGGATCGTAGATCTGAACTCCCGCGGGAGACTTGTAGAGTGTGATAGAGTAGGTTGCGGTAGCAATCCTACTCACTCCACGATCCAAAAACGGAACGCGTGGAAGATTCGTCTAGCATTTATCTAGTAGCGTGGAAGTACTCCACGCTGGCTAAATATCTAGAGCGATGTTTCATCATCAACCTAGTATGACTAGAGCGGTCATTGAGAACCCTGTCTCCAATGACTATTCGCGAAGGACTACGTCACGAGTCCAACTCAAACCCTATCTAGGATCGAGTCGCGAATAAGGCTAAGAGCCGTGTATTGCATCAACGAGGCAACGGGGGTCCATGAGAATTTGGTTTCCGTGGCCGCCGTATACGGGGAAGTTCTGTTCTGCGAGGCCTGGCATGTTGCGTTTTATGAAGGCTTTCTCGGCTTCGTTGGTCCAGCATGACAGTGAATCTTCGGCGTGTGTTTTCACCAATGCTTGATGGATGCGACAGAGGAAGGGGTTGTCTCGAACAGTGGAGCTGGTGAACCCTTGGGACACATCATCTTCAACAAGTTCTGCAAGCGGATGACATTCAAGGATCTCACAGAACTGGTTGTAGCGCAATAGCAACGTCATAACCAATAGTTCTCGAACTTGAGGGCTCCAGAGTTTCTTTGTATCGTCTTCAAACAACATATTGGTGAATTTTTTCAGGGTGTCGACATCTGTTTCAATGTCATCAAAGGTTGGAGGTTGGCCGCCGGCAATCGTGTCACCGTACTTGGCTGTCCAGTTAGCCAGGGCTTTACCGGCCTGATGTGACATCTTCAGAGACCCGTTGATGTAGTCGAATACCGAATGAAGGCCACCTACCGACCAGCCAGTTCGAAATATTCCGGCCATACCGTTCAAGGAGAGACATTCTGCCATATCTTGGTTGGAACCTTTCCGGTTGGAGTGGGAGGACAGTTCTTCATTGATCTCATGGGCTAGCACCTCAAAGGTGTTGCATAGCTGATCAAAAAGTCTGGTCCATGCTTTGGAAACACCACTGTCGGATTTACCTCCTTTCGTCTTCAGCGCGGCTTGGGAGAAGATTGGAAAGATGTACTCATCATTGTTGCAACCATTCAACACGAGTAGGTGTAGAAGAGAGAAGTAGAAGTCTTCCAGAATGCCATCTCTGTGAGGGTAGATAGGCAGGGTCTGCGGTTCATTGTCCTTTTGGCGTTGGCAATAGGCTGTTATGACTTGATAGCGGTAGACATGTTCATTCACCTCGGTGGCCTTTGTATCTCTTGCTTTTATTAGGGATACTTCGCTGCCGCGTCCACAGCAGTGATAACTGGCGTTTAAGAGATGCCAGAACTCGGCGTATTGCGGTGTTTTCAACCAGATGCATGCGGTTGCCAATGCTTCGCGGTCTCGTCGCGTGCTAGATGCTTTCTCTCCTGTTCTTCGTTTGCCGGCAGCACGGTTGGATTCACGGTAAAATGCTCTGAGCTTCTGCAGCAATTGCTTCCAAGGGTCTTGCTGAAAGATTGGAATTGGGGTGTTGGTTCTGAACTTGTCGACGAAGTAGGTTTTCACTCCGGAACAATACTGCTCAGAGGTGCTTGCTGCGAGCTTTGTTTTATTGCCCATGAAATAGATGAAATTTCCAAACAGTTTGTCCCAGAATTCAAACGTGGCTTTGTTGGAGGACTTGCGGGGGATACCGCAATAGGGAATGGTGGTACCGTCGGCAATGACATCGATTCCAATTTGGCGGCAGTATCCTTGGAGGAAGCGGTTGAAATAGTTGAAGGCTTTCTTCTGTCTATCGGCTGATGAAGTAAAGAGGCAGGTTCGGGCGTCGACGGTGAAGTAGGCTTCATCCTCGTCTTCATCAGGCGCCGACATGGTTGAAAAAAAAGCAACGTGCGGATGGTCTTATATTGTTATGGATTAATGAGTTAGTTAATGGCGTGAAGGTTAATGGCATCATTTTTTCGAGTGATGTGAGGGAGGTTATTGAGGTGGTATCGTCGGGCGTTTAGATGCTCGTTTTGTGAAGCGGTATGCGTTCGTTTGAGGATCTGGCATCGATCTGGTACGGTCTGGCAAAAGGGTGCTGGGTCTGGCAAAAATTTTGTAAAGTAAAGTACTACCGGTACCGGTATCCATACGGTCAAAAATCACATCGGTTCATGATGTACAATAAGCGCCAGGCCAGCCAGAGAGGTGCGCTCATTGATTTTCTATTTATTTATTTATTTATTTATTTATTTCTATTTATTTATTCCTTGCTTCCGACGCGTCGAGGCATCAAAGCACCGTACTACTACAACAAGACCATCTACCACAACAGCTCCTGGCATTGGATTGGCTGCCATGCGTCCCAACAGCAATGACATTTACCACAACAGCAACAGGTCCTGGCATTGGATTGGCTGCCATGCGTCCCAACAGAAAATCCATTTGCTGCCGGTTCTTTCGAAATTATCCTTTCAAAACTACCGACGCCATTGTCTACCAATTGTCTACCAATCCACCGTCTACCACTACCACTACCACTACCACTACCGATCTGTTGTCGCCAGCTGCTCCTGTGTTTGACTACTCCCTTGATTGCTGCGCTATTTGTTTTGCCTTGAAGTCAGTGCCTACTTCGGTAGGGGCAAGGCTCTTGGCAACAGCATACAGCTAGCATTATGGTGAAGTACTCCAAAAGCGGTGAGGGCGGAGTCTTTGCGTTTGGTGTCACCCATATTCCTACCAAGAAATCAGAATCATCATCTACCAATCCACCGACGACGACCAACCAACGAATTCATCGCCCTGTGTTCGATGCCGCCTTCGGGCTACGCCGGAGGCTATTTCATTTTATTTTTCTCCTATCAATGTAAGTTTCCCTTGTTTCCAAATTCGAATTATTGTCAATGTCACGTTGCCGACACCATCCATAAAGCTTGCTTGGATCTTTCGGCAGAGGAAATGAGGCAGTTACTGCGTACTATAATAGTAACATGCAGGTCTCTGGAGTGGTGTTGCACAAGTACGTAAAGGTTGATCAAATCAAGGACGGCGACGTCCAGTGAGCTGCGAGAAGTGCGCTATCTCTTCTGCTTCGGAGGAATCAGAGCTCTCTGGGCGCTGGACCCGACGGCGCTGATGACGGCGGGGTGGAGGGCGGTGATTGGTCTCGGTTTCTTCTTCTTCTCCTTCTCGGGCACGACGTTCTCTACGTCTTCCGCCATTTTGATCGCGGGCCGAAGGACGGGCAACAGAAGCAACAGCAGGAGCGGCAGCAGGAGCGGCATGAACAACAGCAGCGACGGGAGCCTCAGCAGACCGATTTCGATAGGTCATTGAGAAAGCGCTGTACCTCCACTGAATATGACGTTGAGAGTGTGACCTCCCTCATCCGTAATGAAGCGAAGTTGTCCATTGGCTGCTGGAATCATACTTGCTTGCATATTGTACAAGTTGATGGGGCGATCATTTGGGATGAAGAAATTTCCTTGGAGGCAAACGAACATGTCGACATCTCGTCCCTGTCCACACAACGACTGATGCCAGTGCGGATGCCTGCAGCAATGGTACCAAGAGTCTCAGTTGATACAGGCTGGGCTTCTCCGACATCTTTGGAAAGAAAGCAATCTTAACTTGTTCGTTGCAAAGACGATTGTTGGCCATTTTCGGTTTCCTTGTCCTTGAAAAATGATCTCATTTGACCATCTTTCCTGCCCAATTCAACGTCTCCGCGGCAAGTTCTGCTTGAGCAAAGAATTCTCTGCGGGGTTACTCCTTTCTCTGCACTTGTCAGAACGATCTTAGTGAGCTAGATCGGAGCGCTTGAGAGAGAGGAACATTTCAGGGAACATTTCAGAGAAGCGTCCAAAGCGGGGCTGACCGACGCCTCACCCTTTTTGTTTCCTCATTATTTTCTCCCTTCAGATAAAGATGAGTGGTACTGACAATGAACTTGTTCAAAGCGGATCGTTTGACCCATACAACACGTGGAGGACACTTGTCACTCTCAACCCAGTCGGTGATTTTGATCATATGAGCGAGGAAGAACGGACTGTTGCTATTTGTTTGGAGACGCACGATGGCAAACTTCGAAACTACAGAGGCTCGGTTACTTTTGATCGATTTGCAAACACCGCTTCCTATCGCTTTCTCTTGTCCGTCTACCGTGTCAAGGATGTCAAGAACCCAGGCGGAAAGACGGTGGAAGAGGAGCTGGCCGATACTATTGACATTATCCCACTCCGTTTGACAAGTCGATTCACGTGGTCGACTGATGCGGATCAGATGAAAGGTAAAGAGACCAATGGTCGATGGATTACGCTCTTGTTCAACCGGGATGAAGATGCTCAAACTCCAGACAGCATTAAACAAATTGATTTGATCGTTCCCAAATCAAAGACCTCCGACAATGGAAAGCTTCTAGCACTTGCAGTGGAATGGGCAAAGCACGTTGTGAAGGCCAGCATTGCTGAAAGCAACTTTGAGAAGGCGAAATTGAAATTGAAAGAAAAGGGTTTGCTGAACTGAATTGGCCCTCATCCATACGGATTGTTTACGCTTCTGTGCCTATAGCTTTATTAATATCGGTCTCTATTAGCGTTTTTGTTTGTCACAAGTCTGCTCTCTGTACATGTAGCTAGCTAGCCATTGCCTCATTGTCTACATCAAAGGTCTGCCGATACGGCGCCATAGAGCAGCAGAGCAGCGTTGTACATCTTTGGAATGATCAAGAGACCCTTATACCTGCCTTGGAACACGAGATTGGTGCCTCAAATAACACCATTATGCTAGTCCAAGTAGTCAAATAATTCAATGGACTGCTTTTGGAGTATAGTTCAACGTTCTATTTTCACTCATTTTGGAAGATCCATTTTCATTCAAAGATTTTCGTCAGCGACAGCACACATGTTGAATCAACCAAATTTTCGAATGCCACTACTAGTAATCGTCACTTCAAAGTCTCCATCTTTTTCTTGTCCGTTCAAACCATGGGTGTCGCGACGCCATCATGCCTGTGGTCGCCAATGCTAGTGGCCATGGGAGGTAGAGCTCTACTGGTGGCAGACAGAGGTTGCCATGATGAAGCTTCGGCAGCGACGGGGAAATCGATTTTTGCCGGTCGATACGGATGCCTCGGTGGAAATTCCGGCATCCCCTGCCACAGTTGGTGTGGTGACACCTGATGAGGGTCCTGAAGTGAGCAAATCAACAAGCATCAAACAGGAGTTTTTGATAGCACTGCAAGAAAACATTGTCTCTCGAAAAGGAAGGAACACACCTCTGTTCGCCTTTATCAGGAAAGGGAACATTTTATACGAGAAAGGTTGGCTCCGAAGAGAGTTGGTAGATCCTGAAACTGCATCACGGTCAACAATACGCCCAAACGAACACAGCATTATTCTATTTTTATTCATGGGTTTGTCGGGAACTGGCCCTGATGCGTCTACCGATATTGAAGAGAAAGCGGCCAACGCCGCGCCAATGCCATCACTCAGTCAAGCTTGGGGCTTTGCAAATAAGAGCATGCGCAGAGCCTGTAATACTGCTTTGAAGAACAACAGTTTTTTTGATACTCTTGTGGATGGTATCAGAAAAGATGCTGAAACAAAGAAAAGATGCAAGAGCGGCACTCCAGCAAGAGGGCAAATCGTGCAATCAGATGACGTGGACGGCTTCCTTTCTCCTGACTCTATTGTCATAGGGAGAACATTCAAACGGCGTGATATGAAAGCAACTCCGACACTTGAGGCAGGGATAGACAATCTAGCTTTGGAGTCTCCAGAAACACCCACGGCTATGAGGTTTTTTGGCTTTGGCGAACAAGAGACTGGTGCAAATGATGGCATTGGTGGAGAGCAGCGTCGCAAACGACTTGACTTTGGATCTCCGTTCACTGAACAATCAGCTGTCAGCCGCTTTGCTTCAGGAGGTTTTGGATCACCGCTTGTGGAAGCGATCCATGAAGAAGATGAGGATTCTGCAGTTGCAACGACAGAAAACAGTTTCCATATTGGGACTCAAACTGACTTGAAATCGAGGTTAGAGGCAGAAATCAGAGACCATTGCATTAGTAGAGACTGTGAAGAAGAGATCCGCCGGGCCCTTTACCACCTCTTTCAGAGCAAAGCTGTACCGATTAGTCGGTCATCTACTACAGATGAGAATGAGGTTTTGACAATTCGCCAGGTTCGCAAAGGCTCCAGCATCAAGATCCTTCGAATTAAAGAGAGCCGACACAACACCAAGAAAGACATCCGAGGAAGGAAACTTAAGCGGAAAGCTAGATTGGTGGAAACGCTGTTTGCCAACTTGGATGCGTCTCACAATGAGATTGTATCAATGATAAAAATCATTGGGAAGAATTATTCACTCCGTGTCTTAGAGGAAGAAGAGTGTTGTTTGAGTATCCAACAATGTGCTGCCTTGATGCAATATCTCCCAGTGACTGCTCGAGGAGTCGAACGGCTTGCACGGTTCTTCAAGACTACGTTGCCGACCTTTGGAGCGCAGTTATTTCCCACCATGCTCCGAAAGAAGCTCGCAGCTTTTGCTCTTGAATCGTTCAGCCTGCGGCTTGGCTTTGAGCTTGTCTCTCTTGAGATCGGAGGAGAAAAGCGCAACGAAAAGTGTCTTCATGTTCATGTTGGGTTTTCTTACCGATCGAAAAATCGAAGGTTTTCCAAAATGAGAATTTCGTGCCCGCTTTTCTCCTCTGATCTCAAGAGAGACAAGCTCAAAGCCAAGCTGCAGGCTGAACGATTCAAGAGCAAAAGCTGCGAGCTTCTTTCGGAGAATGGTGGGAAATAACTGCGCTCCAAAGGTCGGCAACGTAGTCTTGAAGAACCGTGCAAGCCGTTCGACTCCTCGAGCAGTCACTGGGAGATATTGCATCAAGGCAGCACATTGTTGGATACTCAAACAACACTCTTCTCCTAAAACGATGAATCATACTTTTCCCAAGATTTTTTCATGATCAATCATTGGAGACCATCAATGCAAATCGCCGTCAAATTCAATATGGTCGCAATTCCTCCGCGATGTCTTTCTTGGTGTTGTGTCGGCTCTCTTTAATTCGAAGGATCTTGATGCTGGAGCCTTTGCGAACCTGGCGAATTGTCAAAACCTCATTCTCATCTGTTGTCGATGAACGACTAATCGGTACAGCTTTGCTCTGAAAGAGGTGGTAAAGGGCCCGGCAGATCTCTTCTTCACAGTCTCTACTAATGCAATGGTCTCTGATTTCTGCCTCTAACCTCGATTTCAAGTCAGTTTGAGTCCCAATATGGAAACTGTTTTCTGTCGTTGCAACTGCAGAATCCTCATCTTCTTCATGGATCGCTTCCACAAGCGGTGATCCAAAACCTCCTGAAGCAAAGCGGCTGACAGCTGATTGTTCAGTGAACGGAGATCCAAAGTCAAGTCGTTTGCGACGCTGCTCTCCACCAATGCCATCATTTGCACCAGTCTCTTGTTCGCCAAAGACAAAAAACCTCATAGCCGTGGGTGTTTCTGGAGACTCCAAAGCTAGATTGTCTATTCCTGCCTCAAGTGTCGGAGTTGCTTTCATATCACGCCGTTTGAATGTTCTCCCTATGAAATAGGTCGAGAAAGAAGCCGCACGTCACTGATGCGAGCTCTCTTCTGGAGTGCGCCTTGCATCTTTGCTTGTTTAAGTTTTGAACCATCCACAGAGTACAAAAAAAAATGTGTTCTTTCAAAGAAGTATACAGCTTGCCAGCCTTATGGCAAAGCCCAAGGCTGACTGAGTGATGGATTGGCGTTGGCGTTGGTCGTTTCTCTTCAATATCGTAGAAGACGAAAAAAAAACATCAGGGCCAGTTACCGAAAACCATGAATAAATAGAATTGCTGTATCTTGGGCGATTGTGACGTGATGCAGTTCAGGATCATTCTTCGACCAACTTTCTCGTAATAAATGTTCCTTCCCCTGATAAGGCATACAATGGTGTGTTCCTTCCTTTTCGAGAGACAATGTTTTCTTGCAGTGCTATCAAAAATTCCTGTTTGATGCTTGTTGATTTGCTCACTTCAGGACCCTCATCAGGTGTCACCACACCAACTGTGGCAGGGGATGCCGGAATTTCCACCGAGGCATCCGTATCGACCGGCAAAAATCGATTTCCCCGTCGCTGCCGAAGCTTCATCATGGCAACCTCTGTCTGCCACCAGTAGAGCTCTGCCTCCCATGGCCACTAGCATTGGCGACCACAGGCATGATGGCGTCGCGACACCCATGGTTTGAACGGACAAGAAAAAGATGGAGACTTTGAAGTGACGATTACTAGTAGTGGCATTCGAATGTTATTAACTGTCTTGGAAAATACTTGAAGAAATGATCTTCCAATGAGTGATAAATAAACGGAACTATTCAAAGCTCCATGATTATTACTACTTGGATGCATATATGTTATTTGAGGCAACCAATCTCGTGTTAAGAGTAAGGTGTCTTTGAATCATTCAAAGATGTAACGTGCGCTGCTCATGGCGCCGTAGCAGACCTTTGATTGAACATGAGAATGGCTAGTAGCACATGTAAGAGAGCAAATTGGGACAGCAAAACCTAAAGAGACGCGATAATAAGATAGCAAGAAGGTAAACATCGTATGGGGGGTGGGGATAGGCAATTCAGTTCAGCAACCCTTTTCTTCAATTGTCAATTCGCTTCCAAAGTTGCTTCAGCAATCTGGCCTAAGTCTGCCCATTCCATGCAATGGCAGAAGTTTCCATTCGAGTCTTTGATTTGGAACGATAATCATGTTTAAAAATATT